ACCAGGCCTTTGAATAACTTCTTTTTTTTTTTTTTTTTTTGTAAATAAGGGTATGGGGGGAGCTCCTCACCAAATTCAAGCTTGTACATTATTTTTTATTGTTTTTAAATTTTGAGTTTTATTGTTTTGTATGTAAATATGTGGACCCAGGAACTGTTATTAATGAGCAAAAAGTTACCGTTCAGGGCAGTGATTCTGTTTAATAATCAGACAAAATGTAGACGAGCTTTTTAAAGCCATATAGTTTTAACTCTGTACAGTAGGTACCGGCCTGTATTATTGTAACAATAACTCTAGCGATGTATAGTGTATCTATATAGTTTGGAGTGCCTTCGCTGCCATGATTTTTTTTTTAATTTTATTTCCCTTTTTTTTTTGTCCTTTTTAACAGCTGTGTCCCAGACAAAATGGCATCTTTGCTCCCCTGCTTTCTAACCCTTTGGAGTGCTTGTAAGGTTTCAGTGATACCATGGTCAGTAGTGGAACGAAAGGAAATTGTGTTTGTGACTCATTTCATTCGAGCCGTGGCTTTGCTCTGGATGTTCTAAAGTTGCCCACCACACCACCCCAATAGCAGTGACTGGTTTCATTTTACACTTGCCCTCTTGGTACCTAGTAGCTAGCAGCTAGATTAGACTTTGCTCGTCTCTCCCTATTCCTTGTGTCCAGAGGTCTTGTGGACAGCAGCTTCCAGAAGCCTTTGGTTTTTTTGTCTCTCCCTTCACTGTATTAAAGAGAGAGCAAATTGGACTTTTACAAACAGAAAAGATAGTTTAAAATCCCCCTAGTGTTCTACACTGGTAGCCAGACAGCCGGCAGGACAGCTGTGGTGCTCTGGGGCCGTTCCTATAGAACACTATAGCATCTTTGTAATACGGGAATTTCCTGTTCCCTTTTCTGCTGTTCCCCAGCCCCTCCCCGTCAGTTTATTTTCTTAAGACGATAACTTTAATATTAGTCTCGATTTCTTGTGCCCAGCACGAAGGCCTTGTTTTTAAAACTAGTTCACTTGTGTTTTCTACCTTGTTAGTATTCCACATAAGATTGTCTTGAATGGGAAAACACTTAACTCTTTACCAAACCAAAGGTTGCTGTTTTTTTTTGTTTGTTTGCTTGTTTGTTTGGGGTTTTTTTGGATCCATCTCGTGTCCATTCCAGTGAGGCAGAGGCTGCACTTTCTTTCTGGTGACACGAAGGTCAGTGATGTCAATTTGTTTTTGACAGTCCACTCGGAATTGTTACTAGCTTCTTTTTTTTTTTTGCTTGTTTTTAATGAAGTATGGTCTTGATCTGTCATTTTGTCTACTCTGCAATTGCATACGTTTCTGAGATGGAATTAATTACATTCTCTGTGTCCCCTGGTGGACGTCAATCAAGACACTGGTATTTTAATTTCAAACTTAGCTACCTTTTTAAGGAAAAAAATTAATGATGGTCATTTACCTATAAATTAAAAAAAAAAAAAAAAGAGGCTGATCCAAGATCCCAGTTCACTTTTCTAGTTGTTTTAAACAAGTTTTATCTAAATAACGGCAGATGCCTGCAATTCGCAACTAGAGATCATTTTAAATGTTTCCAGACTTGTTATGCTTTAAAAAAAATTGCCAGTAACCTTTTCTCTGTTAGAAATCTCAGCTACTGAAGGTAAAAAAAAAATACGATAGCTATAAAAGCACAGTAGAGTATTCGACCCAGGAGCTACTTTTCTGAGAATATAAAAAGGCATCTTTGGTGTTCCCATTATTTCCACAGGGGTTTTAGTCAGTTTTTGTTCATGGAATTTGTTTCATTTCGCAACACTGCAATAACAGCAAAACAACAAAAAAGTAAAACTAAAAACCAGTACCTAGGGGGTTAGCTTGAGAAAAGTAGCTTCCTTGTGTTGTTCTTCCTCAATTTTTTTAATATATATATTTATATATATATATATAATTTGCTTGCCTGTAAAATTTGCGTTCATTAATGTGTTGCTGATGGATCACTTGGGCCTGTATACACACAAATTAGCGTGACCACTTCCATCTTAAAAACAGAAATCTAAAACAAATAAATATATATATTAAGGACTGTGGGTTGTATACAAACTATTGCATACACTTGTGCAAATCTGTCTTGATTTAAAGGAAAAGCAAAACCTGTATAACTATTACTACTTGAATGCCTCTGTGACTGAATTTTTTTTCATTTTAAATATAAACTTTTTTTGTGGAAAGTATGCTTAATGTTTTATTATTTCCCCCGCCCCTCCTACCCCCTTGTAAATACATTTTGTTCTGTGTGACTCGGTTCGGAAATAGTTAACTGGTACTGTAATTTGCATTAAATAAAAAGTAGGTTAGCCTGGAAATTAAATTTAAAAATGCAAAGTGTGTGGTCTTTATTTCAAAACCCTGCCTTTTCTCTCCTCCTCTTACTGCTCCACCCCATTCCTCACCCCCCACACCTCTTTCCACCCCCCAAAAATAGGTGGACATGACTCTGTGTAATAATTAAAACACAAGAAATAAGCATGTTTTCTTAAATGATCTGTGTTAGTCCATGATACTTTCCCAAGAGATGCCAGCTTCTGTCTACGATTCCATTGGTTTGATGGAGTGAGGAACCCTGCGGCAATACATCTAAAACCACAAAAAACATTACCCTCCACCTATAGGGGCAAGCTAAGAACCTGTGTAAATTGCTGGCTTTGAATACTGCACTCATCTTTTTTTTATTTGATCCCATTAGTAATGTTATTTGGTGGTGATCTGTAAAGTTTGTCAAGACCACATCCAGTGGGGCTGTTCCTCCAACAAATCAGCACGTTGCTATCTCTGAGTTGGGTTTTCCAGTACTGGATAATGTATGTATTAAACATGACTTGTCTATTAGCGCAACAACAAAAATCCTTTTTGGGCTGGCTGACCTGGCCACATCCGTTCTGTCGCTATCCTAAAGTCTAGATGCAAGGTCATGTGACTGCTGCTTCAATAAAAACAAATTTATATTGCAAAGAGGCTCCTCTTGGTTTATTCCTAGAAACAAACGTCACATTCAGAGCTGTCTGAACAGTAACTCTCGAATATGTACAAACCAAGTTTGTCCCACTCTTACATTTCTATAGCGCCTTTCCTCCCCGAGAATCCCAATCCATGTTACGAATCTACATGGGAATTGTTTAATTCACTGCTGGCATGCAGATATCTATGGGGTTGCTGCCTAACAGCGCCCAATAACATGACACACAGGGTTAGGAGAGGAGCTGTGGGAACATCCAACTGAAATTCTCAGCAGAATTTGGTTAAGTAGAACATCGTTCCCCTGGTTCTGGACTGTGGCCAGGACCCTGGAGCAAATGTATAGTGAATAGTGTTGGGTGATCTTTATTGACCACAAATGGGATTTATGGCTCCTACAGCACAACACCCCTTCAACACTATCCTGGGGCATTGACTCTGCAGAGTACTGTATATTACCTCTTGAAATACCAAGACCTGTTTAAGGCTTATGGGTTTGTTTTTCCCCCAAAAAATATGGAAAAGCAAGTGTGTGTATTTCCTGGTTATTTCTGGGTGGCAAAGGGGCTGATGAGATGTATGAAATTAGCATCTACCCTGTTCCGTTTTTTTCTGTTTAAATCAATATCATTAAGCCTATGACCTAACTGAACCCAAACCCACAGTTCCCCTGCTGGAGGCCGGTGTGGTGTCATGGTCTCAGGTGGAGTTTGTAAATTCCATCTTGCTCAGATACTTCCTTTCACTCCACTGTGACCTGCAACCTAGTTTCCTCCATGAAACATTTAATTGCCTGGATAAAAAGGGGGATCTGGAAGACTTGCTGGACCTGCTGGGAAGGCCACTGACCTTCAAACCCTGGCATTTACTCCACAGCCTCATTAAGCTCCAGGACCCAATCATGCTGTTTTCAGTGTGCAGTCCCCACCGGCGCATGGGTTGCTTTGGGAATGACCCATACCGCTCACTCCTCGCCCACATGCCCTATATTGTCCTTTCACGGCTGAATCCCTTTCATCAAACACTTTGTGAGTGTGATCTTCTACACTGACCAGTTCAGCAGGCAGGTTCCAGCAGCTGCATTACGCCACCTGGCTTGTTAGTGATACACTAACCTGGGAAGGCCAAGGTTGGCCTGAGTGTCAGGAAAGGCAAGGTCAATACCTGGATCATGTAGGGCCAATGTGCTTTAAGAACTGTCCTAGGTGACGCCTGCCTGCATGGATCATGGCTAGCAGGAAGGCAAAATCCCTTTACCCTTTTTCTTCTCTTAGGCCTGGGAAGGAAGCTGGGGCACTGTGGGCGTGCTGCAGCTGGTGAGCGGGGAAAGCAGGGCCATAGGGAGTGCAGACAGTCGCTGCAGCTAGGCAGAAGACTGCAGGGCCAGAGAGCTGAGCTGCAAGTGACAGCTGACTTGTCCCTGTTCTAAGCAGCAGGGAGCTGAGTTCAACTGCCTGGGAGCTAGTGGCAAAGCCTAAGAGGGCAGCATGAACCAGGTGCTGGAGCTGGAGGCTGATGACAAGGAGCTCCAGGCAGCAGGGGAAGATGAAGTATAAAGCCAGCAGGGAGATTAGCAGCTGGGAAGAGCTGGCAAGGAGCTCAGCAGGTGCAGAGGGCCTGGGCCAGAGGATGCTGCCATTACAGATTTGTGTGAGGGCATCTGGGGGCATGGCAGTGTGACCCTTGCTCCACAGGCCTGGGGAACAGAGCCAAGAAAGACAGCTAGCAATACGTGGGAGCTTGCCAGGGTCTAGGTGTTGCACATTGGGCCCTTCAAGCACCTAGCGGAAGGTAGCAGTGGCAATTGCTGTGAAGACAGCAACAGGTTGTAGGAGGGAGCAAGACTCCAGGCCACTCTATGATCTCTGGGAATTTACACCCTTACGAATAAAAGAAAATGTAGTAGGTCACAAAGTGCCCAAAGATCCCATCTAATCGTATTCTCTGGGTTCCAAAGACCCACTGAA